GTATGGTTAAGTGTCATTGACAATTGACAGCAAGAAAAAAGTAAGTGGGTAAGTACTTTATTTCTTGTTTTTCTGTTTATTCTTTAATTATTATCATAAAAGTAACTAAAATGTAAAAATAGGGATCTTTTTAGGTTAGTTAAGATTTGATTAGATATAGAATAAATAATATAATAAAAATGTTTCATGAGGCACACTGAGCAGCTCGTAGTAGCTCTTGGGTAATGTAATGTAATGAGTGAGGCCTAGAACTTTCTACAAACTATGATACACTATGATGTAACAATGCTCACTTAAAGCAACGAGAAAAATACAGAAGAAACTTTGTAGTATTGACGGCAACTGCCTATTTTAGACACAAGTATAGAGGATGATGTTTCGAAAAGCAGAAGACTTTCAAAACGTCGTCCTCTACACTTGTGTATCTACAACAGTAGTTGCCATCCATTCTACAAAGTTTCATCATGAATACTCTGCCTAAACAATCTATCAAAAATACAGAAGTAATGTTATGTCAAATTACAATTGAACTATACACACAATGTACGACTCTTACAGAGTTACATAACTAAATTTCTATTAACTGTTGCTTTTAAAATAATTACTTTTAAGCCCTTGTTATGAAAACTAAATAATCATTAAATATTAGATCGCTAAATGAACTGAGTAATAACTCTTACACTAAACAGTCTTGTATATACAGCAGTTTTCATTAATGTATACAACAAGATTTAGATCCTCTGTTGTTTAACTCTGTACAGAGTACACTTTGACTCCTTATCATTACAGTCACTGTTATTTAACCCATTACTGTTTTCTTCATTAATAAAATTGTCTCTTTTTAGTAGTTTAGCAACAGCTTCATCACTCAGTTTTGTACAATAATTCATTAGGAAACATGAAATGTAATCAGAAAAATGACTCCACATTCTGTCTCCTTTTTATATGTGGGGTATTGTGAATACCAAAGCCCAATTATATCATGAAAATAATTTATTTGGAGAAAACACACACTTCACATGTCATGAATTATCACACAACTGAAAATACATGGATATTGCTCAAGTAAACAAGTGTTGAGGTTCTGAGTACTCTATACATACAGCCAGAGTTAGTGACTACCCTCTACTTGATTCTCATTAGTCTGTATACAAAAGGATTTAGATCTACTGTTGTTAAAAGTGACTCAGTACTTCTCTCCCTTTGGTTCTCACTAATATCTGTACAAATTGTTCATAGTGATTCTTTCCTTCCTTTCACTGGTCTTAATGAAAGTTTCTGAAACCGACTTATTCCTTTTTTTTAATAAACTACACATGCAACTATTGCTTCTTCTTCTTTCTAGTCTTGTGAATCATATATTTTAATGTCTTCAGAAGGAGATGAGAGATAATTTGTAAGTTATATTGTGTATCTGATTCTGTTGTATTCTAAGAAAAACTTTCATGTACTTGAGCATCATAAAGCTCCTAACATTAGAATTGTACCTTTAAGGTAGCAGATGTGAGCAAAAAAGGTTGGCAGGATATTTCAACACTCTTCAACCAGAAAGGTACAACATTGGATACAGTATCAAGAGCACCAGGTGAAAAATCTTCATTACTTGGAACTTCATCACAATCATTTCCCAACAAAGAAAGGTCAGAAGTAAAAAGTTTTTCTTGTACTAGTAATTTCATAACAGAGTTGGTCTAAATAACTCACCTTGGTACTAAGTTGATAAAAGCTTCTGAAAAGAAGACTCGTATAATATCTCAAAATACAATTTACACTATACACAAGACAAGTACCTTTATCCATCTCTCCATGGGCATCTTTTTCTGCGCATGTCACAAGGTTTTAGTGAGTTACATTCAACATTTAATTAAGCTACTTTTTTTACATGGTATACCAATAAGAAAATAGCATGAAAGTGTAGCTAATAATCCATATTTTAATAGTATATAAATTTTAAGTTCTTGCTTTTATAAGGCAATATTTAAAACAAATTCCCCTTGTGTGTGAATTGTAACATTTGCTTTCTTGGCATCTCCTCTTCTCTAATTTATTTACCATCCCTCCAAGAAGTAGGAAATTAAATATAAATTACTTATTATAATATTGTCATTGTTTGGGCAAAGCATAATTTTCATAGCCACCAATCTTGTTTAGTTATAGAGCCATGAAATAGACAACCAGACCCCCTCTTGCCACACCCACCTTTCAAATCCTCTCTTTCAGAAATTTCCAATTGTTCTCTCTGACTTTCAGTACTGTATTATTTATAACCAATAGAAAGCCAAGATCTCACTCTATCAAATAATTATTATATTACATTATTTTATGTACAGATAATTGTTAGTTTTACTTCCAGTTCAAACATTATTCCATGGGAAACACATCAATGAGCTTAGCTGAATATATAACAGTTTTCATCGCATAGTTAGAAAGCCAGAAAATTTGTGATATTTATGGTACATATTCTACTTTTTGTATATTATTATTATTGTGTTCTTTGGTGCATTGTTTAATTAAATTAAGAATAATTTAGTGCAGTGCTACTACTAGTATAAAAAAAGTAGTGTTAAATGTCAAAAAGAAAAAGACCCAGGTAAGGGCTTTTTTCTTGTTTTTCGTGTGTATTCTTTATTTATTACTTTATAAAAGTAACTAAAATGTAAAAGTAGGAAACTTTTTATATTAGATAAGGTTAGATTAGGTGAAATAAATAATAATAATAATACAATACAATTTTTCACGAGGTATGCTTGTGAGGAGCTCACGAGTAGCTTGTGTGTAATGTAATTTGATAGCTTAATGTGAGCGACATATTTGCTAAGCGATTTACAACTTATAATGGGGGTGAATAGTAGTTAGACAGGTCTCAGAGGGTAATAAAACAATAAAATTTAAGTTTAGATAGATGAATACTGTTATGAATTTATAGCTATTTAGGATAAACAAATGTAATTCATGTTACAATTTGAAGTCATTCTAGAAAGAAAAATGGGTAATTCAACTTTTTTTTTGGTGGTTGTGAGGTCAGTAAAATTTACCAATCTTGTACAAAGTTAGGGTAGAGAAAATAACAGATAAAATTTTACTGAAAAAAACGTTTGAAATTTATTTAGGAGGTTTTAGGGAATATGTAAAGAAAATTTGAGATACTTGCGATGAAGAAAAGTATTTTAAGCTTAACATATAAATCACTTAGCACTCAGATTAGTATATAGAAATACTATATATATATTCAAAGACAAATCTTTAGTAAAAATACTTCATTGAAATATCTGATTTTCTGTGTAGAAAAGACTTGTAATGTTTACTAAAAGTCTGCCAGATCTTGTGAAGATAAACAAAGTATATTAATAGTTATAGTACGGAAACTATAAGGAGTACAAAATGGTTACAAGGTCGGTTAATTTGACCAACTTCTTAGCAAGAGAGTTAAAGTATCTATTCTATTCATTTTTTCCTTTGACAGTAGGAGATGTAATAATCATTTTTCGCTTTTTAATGTGTGCTATATATTTCTGATGTCACACTTATCAAAATTGACTTTTTTACCCATTGCCAAAGTTGACAGTTCCTTTTTTTTTACCAATGTCTTGTCCAATGCCAAATTTATCAAATGTAAATTTTTACTCATGTATTTTCCAGTGCAAAATTTATTAAAGTTAATCTTTTACCTTATGTATTATATTACATAATTCCAAACTTGTCAAAGTTAAATTTTGTATCGGTGTATTGTCTAATGCCTCTGTTTTGGTCTCCTCAAGTGAGTTATCATTTGATTAAATGAAAACAAAGTATTTTGTGATTTTGAAATTTGTGTTTGTCAAACTTGTATAAAAGACCTAAACTACAATAATTCATTTTGTTCTTTTGTTTCTTACTTACTTTGTAAAATATGTTTGGCTTGTGTCTTTGAAAGACATGTTGAAAACATGAACTAAACATTCAATGAAATCGTAGTAACTGGTTGAAGTTCACTTATCCTGAACTATTTTAAAAAAAGAATAGACATCTACTAGTAGTTCTTCTAAAATATTATTTGTATTTATTGTAGGCCTGTCTTGTATGAACATTGAGTGTATGTAAAGGCATTATAGTGACATTTAACTTGGTCTGACACATATCCTTGCTGAAAGTGTTTTTCAGTATATCTGTAAACTGCTGTAGAAGGATTACGAGAAATTATTTTGCACTTGAGTTTGATTTTCATAAAAAAAGAGTAGTTTTGTGTAGGAGTTTTATGTACATCACACAAATATATTTTTTTCATGTCCTTACTTTTTTTATTTACTATATACCTGAAATTTAAATATGTGCAAATAAGTTAATATAAAACTGTGTTTTTTCACTGTTCCTGCAGCTACATGTTGACACAATTATTGTATCTGTGCATAAAATGATAAAAAAAAACAGTTTTTGATATTGTTAGGGATGTCGCATTTTTCAATTTATTCATACAGTTGTAATTTATTTAGTGTCTATGAAAACATTTTTGGATTTGTAAAAGTTTTCATTCATTTAGTGGACCAGTCATTTCACCACTCAAAAAAACTGTAATTGTCCCACAGTTTCTACAAGATTTATTGTATTGATAATATTGAACTTTATGATCTCTAAAATAGTGGTTTTTGTAGATTAACATAATATCTTTGTTATCAAAGTGGAACAATATGTTGATAATAAACTGGAACCACGACACAGCAAATAATTGATGGAACAATTTGCCAGTGTATGTTAATAATTATATTTGCTATACGACATTAGTATTAGGCCTATTACATTTTAAAACACTATGTTCTTTACCATGTCTCTTAGGGATTTGCAGGAATTATAATTGTCTTTGATGATGATATTACAACCACACAATATCTGCCATATACGTTGCTCAATACAAGTGGTTATACCCATTTTTAATTCTTAAAAATCCCTAAGGGACTAGATAAAAAGTATAATGTTTAAAAATATAATAGGCCTAATATTAATGTATTATGACAAGTAAAATTTTAATCATTCTTCACTAGCTTGTAAAAGATGTACACACCATCAAATTTGCTAGTGTATGTTAATACACACTTCTACATGTGTAAGTAGTTGAGTTGTTATTAGTAAACTGGAACCACATTTCTTCATGTGTAAATATGGATGAGTGGAACAATGCATCAGTGTAATGTTAATAGTAAATTGAAACCACATTTCTACACAGGTGAATAGCTTAGTGGAACAATCCATCAAGGTATGTTAATAGTAAATTGGAACAACATTTCTATAGAAGTAAAGGCCCCCAGTAAGACTGGGCATACAGACTCTGTCATTTTGGTAAGTGTAATGCAATTTCTGTGCATATGATATATATGCTTGTGTTAATATGGTTTATGTATATAATGGGTGTTTAAGGTGAATCCCCTTCCAGAAAAGAATGGTCCAATTTAAACTCCTGTACACAGCCTTGGGTATCAGTGATATGGTATTACAAACACATACATATTAGTAGTCTTTATCATTTTAGATTTTATTATCTTGTATATGTTGAAACTATATGATAATTCTATCATACATTTCATGTGTGCAGATACTGCATTGAGCCAACACTTATATACGTGTTCATCATTTGGCACCAGCAGAAAATTTAATGTATGCAGAATGGAAGTCTTTTTCATGATGCTTATTGTTGCAAAACTAGTGGGGTGATGGAAGGTGAAAACTACTGCAGTTCCATTTCATTTTTTCACATTTTCATTAAAGTACCAATTAAAATGAATGTGAAATACCACGAACTTGTCTTTAAGGAACCCCAGATGTTAAAATTTAATATTTCACTGTTTACTTGACTTTACTATACAAAGTGAGTTATGCCCATAATAGCTGTAAGCTGAATTTATGTATCTTCTCCTCCTGGTGGTAAAAGAAAGAATTAGTAATAAAAATGAGTAACAAAAGCGTATTACTTCCCACTGTGGACCGCCCCACCACAAGGCATGATTTAGTAGATGCTATGTGTGTGCTTGTTAAAGATTGACTGCAAATCTTGATTGTTTTAAACATGATAACTTGTAAGTTCTTGATAAGTGGACTAACTATCTTGAGAAGACTGTAATGGCTTTGGTAAGATACCTGAAACAGTTGTTCCTACAAAAATAATTAAAATACATAGATGAGAAATTAAAATTTTGTCCACATTTCTGTCATGTGACTTTTACTGATCTAGTTGAAAATTTTAAATACTAACGCTGTATGTATTTGATATTCCTTAGTTTTTTTTATCAGTAATAATTAAGCTTTTACATACATAAAGACACACCAAATGTGAAGGACGAAACATATTAGTGCGAGTTTTCAGAAAAGTATTGAAATATTCTTTCTGTTAATGACCCGGTAGTTATCCGTCTGACGCGTTCTACAGCCTGTTGAAAGTGAAACATACTAGGTACACCAGTAACACTTGCAGTTGAACGTGAAACCTACTATTTACACTAGTAACACTTGCAGTTGAACGTGAAATATTCTAGATACACCAGTAACACTTGCAGTTGAATGTGAAACATACTATTTACACCAGTAACACTTGCAGTTGAACGTGAAACCTACTATTTACACTAGTAACACTTGCAGTTGAACGTGAAATATTCTAGATACACCAGTAACACTT